TCCTCACCCAGGCTGTGCCCTGCGATGGACACCCCGCCCCTGAAGTGCGGGTTTCTCTGCAGAAACAGCCGGTGCAGGCGGTTCATCTCCGAGGCCACCGTGTCCACGATGGTCTGGCAATAGGTGGGGCTGTTGTAGAAGAACACGTCCAGGATGGTGTCGTTGATGAAGTGACGCAGGCGGTTGATGCTGGGCAGGGTGATCCGCTCCAGGTCACTGCGGGGGAAGGGACAGGGGGCTCAGGGAACCACGGAGCCCCAGCAGGCTTTGAACATAAAATGTGAGTTCAGAGCAGGACTGGCACTGTCTCCAAAGTGTATGTTGTAATCCTCAGCTCATCCCAGGCAGAGGGCAGAGCACAGCCTGTGCTCTGACATTCCAAGAATAAAGAGCTGTCCTTTGTTCCCCAGGAGCCTGGCCTGATTCCTGCCCTTCCCAGGACACTGCAGGAATTGGGGACTCAGCTCCCTGAGGCCTTAGGCCAGCTCTGGATGTCCACAGTCCCTCTGGGATCCCCAGGGAAAGGCAGGAGCCTGTGTTCTGCAGTGCAGACTGGAGCAGGGATGTTCTGTGCGCTGCAGAACGGCACTGGGGAGCTGTTCTGGGGTTCTGTGTGTCCTGTCACCCCTACCCCAAACACTCACAGCTTTCCCTTCGCTTTCCCAACAGAACAAGTGCAGTTTTAGGGGAGGAGCCCCTGAGCATTTTGCCATCCCCACCATCCCCGTGTCACACTTACACATCCACGCCAGTGGAGTGCAGGGAGCTGTGCCAGTTCACGGGCAGGAACTCCACCCGCCCCACCTGCTGCTGCTCCTGGGCCTTCTTGAAGTGWGCCTGCAGCATGCTGAGGGACACGTTCCTGAAATCATTCACTGCAAAAGAGAGGAACTGTTACAGAGATCCACCGGGCTCCAGGGCACCAACAACACTTAATACCATGAAAGATCATTACAGGGAAATCCCACCAGGGTCTTTAATCTGCTGCTGCTMCCCTAAGTCCCTGAATCTTTAACTGGAGATCAGGGGAGGCTCCATGCCCCGCCACGTGTGTTTACTGGATTTCTGTGTCCCATCTGCACCTCGTTCACATGGGCAGGGCTTTAGTCTGGCAGCCAGGATAAGGTACTTTCAGAAATTTATAAAATTTATGAAAAAAATAACTCTGTTGTGAAGCCAAATTGATGAAGAGCCTTTCCAGCAGGTGGGATTTGGTGGGTTAGTGAGTGCTCCAATCACCCTGCCCCAGTCTGCAGGGGTGGCCGTGCACCTGCGGGTGTTGGGATGGTTTGGGGCACCCTGGCAGTGCCCCCCTTTGCCCAGGGTGATCTTTCCCCGGGCTCTGCTCTGCTCCAGGGGCTCAGGGCTCCCACTCACCGCACTGCACGATGCTCCTGAAGCGGATGTCGCAGGCGGGGCCGATGCCGTGCACCACRAACACGAGATGGTCGATCTGCAGTGGCTCTCCTGAGGAGGGGACAGAGCCCAACAGGGAATGGAGCTGCTGGCAGCACCATCCTCACGTGAAAACCCTTCTCAGTGCCTGCATTCACACCCCAAGGGGGATGGGATTTCTCTGTTTCCCTTTGTCCTGCCCTGGGACAGGTTGGACCCACAGGACAGCAGCTCCACGGGGCTGGGGAGGATTCTGAAACCATTCCGTTCCTTTTGGCACAAAATGTTTTGATGTGCACGTAATTTAGAGAATCATGGGAGCTTCTGGCAGTCCTTTAGAGTGRCCAGGGCTGGGTGGAAGGGAGGGTGAGCTCACCACTGGGGATCTCCACAGCGATGTTCTCCACTCCTCTCTTCACCGTGCGGGGCCGGCCCTGCTCCGTGGGCGTGGAGACCCAATCGTCAGAGCTGCCAACGGGGTGGTAGTGAACCATCAGCTTGGGGACAAGAAGAGCCTGTCAGTGACTGAGAGCAGGGACAGCTGCTGGGGACACCGAGTGCTCCAGACTGTGCTGGCCCAGCCCTCTGCACACAGAGGTGCTGGAAAGGAACCTGGAGCTGTTGGTACAGGCAGGTGAGGGCAGTGCCATGGGGACAAATGGCACAAAAATACCCAAGGGGATGTCCTGGCTGTCACCACAGGGGTCAGCAGGCCCTGCTCACCTTTGGGTTGTGCAGGATAATGACTTCTCTGTTGGGGGACTCCAGCTTCTTCTTCCACTCATCCAGGGTCACAGCAATCATGTAAGCTTCCTACAGSAGAGAACACCCTCTGTGAGTCAGCTGGAAGTATTCCCATGAATGTTTAACCTCTTGGGACATTCCCCACCCAGTTTTCAGAATCTCTTATCAACACTTTACAGAAGAGGCAGAGAAATCAGCTGAAACAGCAGCAGGGTCATCCCAGGATCACCTGCTGAGTGTTTAAGAACTCTCCCATTTAACAGCAGCAGCATCAGGCTTCCCCATCAACTTAGAACTGCATTTCTGGTACATCAGAATAAAGATTATTGCCAAGATGTGTATTTTCACACGTGTATGCATCTTCCCAAAGGAAAGGCGGGCACTTTAAGGTGTCGTGGAAGGATGCAGCAGGGGAAGGGGAGGCCACGCAGTGCTCACAGTCACATCAATCAGCTGCAGGAACACCACGCCAAAGCCTCTTTGGAGTTCATGTCCTCAGGCCTGACCGTGRTGCCAGCGGCCTCGGAGGAGGTTTGGGACATCGGAGAAAGATGGGAAAAGGAGAAGCTGAGATGGAAACAAACAGGAAAGGTGCGTTTACCTCCAGTTCCTCGCTGAAGGACTCWGAGTAGGGAATATACTTATTGTCCTTGTCGCCCTTGTAGAACCAGGTGCAGCGGCGCACCTCGGACACCTCCTCCTCCCAGTACACGGCCACGCGCCTCCGCGTCCGCAGGTGCACGTCGTACCTGCCCCCCGACGTCGGCACAACCACCTCATCCTGGCCCCTCCCTGCAGAACCAGGCTGGGATTAATGTCAGGGGCCAGAGGGGTGAGCACCCCCCAGCAGGCTGCACAGTGGAGAAGGTCTGAGCCACAGC